AAGGGAAATCCTCAGCAAAGTCCCCTAAGAATGGTGTAGGGTTCCTGGGGGCAGCGGACTGGGGGCACTGCTTAGAGGTAAGGCGATACCCAGATCAGGAACGACCTTCTATTAAATGACCTGAGCATCTTGGGATGCTCAGAATTAACAGCCAGTGATGTCATCAGTAGCAAAGATTGCCTCCTGGAAATGGCAAGAAATCATAGACTCAGAGATTCAGTGAGAAGTAGGCAGTCCTCTGGAAGACGGTTATGGAAGCTGCTTTAACATTTCCAGGTTTTTCTGATGCAGCCACAGTAACGGTGAGTGAGAAAAGAGACGGAGTAGATGGCGGTACCCAGCAGTTGTATTCCAGGACGGGGAGGAGTGAAGAGCTTTATCTCCCACACTGTGTGCTCTCCCCCATCTCCTTCTGTGTTCATTGACCTTCTAGGAAACTGTGTTCTTAGCACTTGAGGAACTGGCTCTGGTAGACGCCCCGCCACATCCCTTATGCTTCAGTCTGCGGTATACACTGAAAGAAGGGGATTTTTCTTGTTGGTCTCACTCAGCTCGCGATGCTCTGTGTGCTCACTAGGGTATCAGCTCTTCACTGGGGCCAGCTCTGCCAGGCATCGGTGTTGGAAAATGGGTAATGTTTCACGTGAGTGAGGTTTCTAAATAATTGATACCTACCTTTAAGTATCAACACATAACACACTTAAATAATATTAAGTGGAGATCCCTCCCACCAGATGGTTCTCTTCCCTGGGCAGCTCTCAGTTGCTGGTTTCAGCTGAATAGAGAGGGAGGGTCTCTGACCATTTATCAAGAATGCGGTCAGAGGGCGACCTGCGTCTGAATGACCCCGTGGAAGGGGAACTGGTTATTAAACATGTGGATTCCTGGGCTCCACTCCAGCTGGATCCTTAACTGTCAGGCCTGGATATCTACTTTATAAACACAGTTGCCCAGGTGCCTACAGTACACCTGGGTAGGGATTCTGAAGGAAAGAGGGCAAGGATTTTGCCTGGTGTGTTCACTGCTGAGCTCCTTGTACCAAGAAGAGTGCCTGGTACCTAAAAAGTTTGCAGTGTGTATCTGGTGAGTGAATTCGTGGCCTGGTTTTCTCCTTCTTATTTGCTATGAGTTAGGGAATCTTGTTAGAATTTAATAAAAAAAAAGTTTAATATAGCTTAAGTGACAGAATAGGGACTCTCTGTGTACATTATTTGAGCCTTAAAATGTAAATATGCCCCATTTTTTTTTATGGCCCAGAGGTTTGTTTTATTGTACGTCTGGCATAAAGTCAGTAGATGCTTAATGGTTGTATGTTGGGTTCCTGGTTTTTAGCTATGGTCCTAAGGTTGCTTCAGAAACGAGGAGTTTCTGTGTTACTTTGACCTTGATATTTGGACTACTTTGAAAGATTAATTTCCAGAGTCCTGTTAGCTGAGTAAGACTGAGGCTGCTTAGAAATACAAGGCAGTCCTCTGTGTGCCTACGTGTGGCTGTGATTCCTGCCGTGAGCAAAGTGTACGCATTCTAAAAATACTGCTATTGAAATAGTCCCAGGTCCCAGAGGGGGTTAAATTGTGAGAGAACAATAGGAGAGGCTTGTCGTCTTTCATAAGGTTTGAGATATCTGAATTTGAAATGTTTCTCTTTCCCTCATACTTTTGAGAGTCTGAGAGAACCACTCCAAGCCTTGTGAGATTTTTCTGTAATTTTTTTTTTTTTTTTTTGCTGAGCAGACATCCAAGTACCCAGTGTTCTGAGTATCTTTATGGACTCTCTTCTGATTTTTGTGTGTTTTGTTTATAAATCAACTGAAAATATCTTTGTTCCTGTTGAGTAATTTTCTTCTCCCAGCCCCACTGCCTTCTTCAGATAAAGATGATGTGGATGAGAGTGGCTGGTGCATGCTTTCAGGAGCCGTGTGGACTAGGGTTTCATTAAGAAAAAGGACTAATGTGTCTTACTACGTTGTTCCCAATGGAACAGTGTTTTCTGATTCAGCACACACAAAGGGAGTGTATTTTATGTCAGTTATTTTTAAAATTCATTTAACAATATTTGAGTGCCTTCACAGTGCCAGGCACAATGTGAGGCTCAGGGATACAGCCATGAATGATATCATTCCTGAGTTAAATGAGTTCAAACTCTAGTTAGACAAGTGGACAACCAACCAGCCATTAGGGTAAAGAGCAGAAGTGCATGAGGGGTATCACTGGGTGCCGTGGGAGCACAGAATAATACTGGTTAAGATAGAACTAAATTGTAAAGGTTGAAGAGTTGGGCAGAGTGGGGAAGGGTGTTGCAGGCAGGAGAAGAAAGTGGTTGCTGGCATGTGAATTTGGTGTGATCTGAGAATGGGAGTTGGTTCCACACGACAGGTGTATCTGCGACCAGGTTGTGAACGTCTATACTAAGGACTCTTCATTTTATTCACCAGCTCCTGGAGGTTTACTGAAGGATTTTTTTGAACAGGAGACTGTCATGATTACATTAACGATCACATTGGCCAGGGAGAATGAATGGAAGCAGAACAGTCCTGAAGATGCCAGAGACAAATGAGGAAGGGACTCCAGTAAATCTAGAAAAGAAATGGGGCAAGCTTTAAGTAAGGCAGTGATTTTTATATATAACCCCAAGTTTTGAAATGTTGTTTGCTTTAAAACTCAACACATTTTTAAACTTTGGCTTAGCAATAAAATTCATGAAACGTAAACATAGGATATAAGTTTCAGAAAGTTTTATAAAGTGTCAAGTGTTACTTCTTTTAGTGATTTCAGCTTTAAATTCTTTAGTTGTTTGCGCAATACAAAATACTTATGTGCTGACTTACAGCTGTATTTTTCTGGCATTTTGTGTGTGTTTATAGTGCGGAATTAATTATAGCTACTGGAAAACACTGAGTTCTGCCTTAAATCCCTTGGGCGCAGAGCTGCATCTTCCGCAGAGCTCTTGTGCTGGAAAAGACGCTTCACTATTTTCATTTACAGCCTCACTGCAGCAGTAAGTTTATAGAAAGCCCTGTAAACACTCTGAATATAATTTCAGAAATCTTGAAGTAACAACTAGGATACTGAAGTTATAAATGCTTATATATTTAGGTAGTTTTTAGGTCATTCAACATAGATTACAGTTAGAACACTTAGGAAGTCATCAAGGCCAGTAGTGTTCATGATTATACCCCAGGTCCTTGCAGCATGCTCTTTCTACATGTAATTTGCCAGTCTCTTTTTCTTGATTCGAGCTTAAATAGACCAGTATTAATTGACATTTAATTTTTAAAAAACTGAATTGTAAACAACCTTGTGGCTAAAAATACACCTAGTAAAATAGGAAAAAAAAAAGAGATAAGAACCTATTCATATTAAAAATATTAACCATTTGAGACATTCTTACTTTATAGCTACGTATGTATGTATAGGTTACAGTTCTGTGTTGTACATTGTTATTTTTTCTGCATTTGTCTTTGTTTTTCTCTGTGCAATTTCCATGTGTCAAAACAAATAGCTCACATATTTATCTTATTTACATGCTTGTTTGTTCCTATTGGCGTTTAAATGGCTTAAGAGCATGGTTGTATCTTGTTGGACCTTGTAATCCTGCACAGAGTCTGAGACTTAATAAAATCCATTGTGTTTTCCAGATGTTCATGATCTCTTTATGTTTTCTCCCTTTTTTTTAAATCATTATTTGTTTCCTGGATAGTCTGCACAGTTGCACTGGGTTTTATGGGTAGAAAATCTAAGTAGCACAAATCATGTTCTCTCTTTCCATCCTGATCTTAGCTGTTGACCCCTCCTCCTTTCCATTTCCCCTCCCACCAGTCACCAGGATCCCTAGGCTGTTCCCCACTCTCAGTCATTCTCCTGCCTGAAGGCTTCCCAGGGCTGGTAGGACAGAGACCGCATTCTGCAACGGGTCAGACAGGTTCTTCATGGTCTGGCATCCACTAACCTCTGGTCTCATTCTCATCTCCAGCAGGATCACCTCTGCCTGTCACAGGTTCCTGTGCTCTGGTTTTATATTAAAAACAAGTAAACAGAACATGGTTTCCTGAAATGCCGTGTTTTCTATTACCCACTTCTCTGTGGGCACCTCACTGAGCAGGCAGAATTGCTGCCCTTCTTTGTTTCCTCTGTGTTCCATGATACTTCATGCATTCAGCAGTTACAGCTTGTACCTAACTGTATGATTACTTTGTTTGTGTATCAGTCTCCCCTACTAGACTGAGTTTTACAAAGACCCTAACCTACTGGTTCTTAAATCCTCAAGGCCAAGCACAATCCCCAGCACGTGGTAGTGTCATGAATATCTTCGGTGTGGAGCAACCCAGTTTGCCCAGGATCAAGGAAGGATGAAAGCAAAATAATGTGTAAACACAGAGATATATTTAGATCTAAAGTGTATGTGTGCCTAATAGGCAAAGTAGGTTATTATGAAATCTCATAAGACATCTGTGGAGGTATTCCAGACAAGACAATTAGAAGTAACTATCTGGAAAATCAGATTTTTAAGGTGACATCCGGGACACATTTGGGGTTAGATAAACCTGCATCTGTTTTGAGCAACCCCAGAACTCACTATATGTTTATAAAAATTTACTGAGTAGAAATATATTCAAAATAACACTCAGCATAGACATTAAAAGAGGTCAGGCAGCAGAGAGCCTTAGTATACATAAAGTAAAAGAATGCCAACATTCCCCAAGATTACGATAGTCGTGCACTGGTGCTCCTTTGTTCAGGTGCATCATTAGTGTGATGCTGGTCGTCAGCATAAGAAAAGAACAGCGCATGATGGACTCCCCAAATTGTCTGAAGCCTGGATGAGCATTTAAAGGGTCAAGACTCAAATCAACATATTCTTAGTACAGCACTTTGTGTATGAATCTTTTGAGCATTGCTATTAAAAAAAACTTTTAATTTTTGCATTAAACTCAAAAACTGTATATGATTTTTGATAATTCTCTTTTAATTTCAGAAGAAACTGTGGTTTTTATTTTTCAGTGTTGAAAATGAGCCCATGAGCACAAGTCAGAAAAAGGAAAATGTACTTTCATCAGAAGCAGTGAAGGTATAGTTTTAAATTAATATTATTTTATATCAAGCAAATATTTTTCTTAATTTCTGCTCTTCTTTCTTCTTTTAGATTCTGCCATCTCATTTTACATTTCAAAAACAGCGTGGAGTCTTACTATTTTATGTGGAACTCCAGCCCAGCTCCACTGGACATTTGCATCTCGGGGTGGGCGCTGGGGGAGGGGGGCACCGAGGGGAGACTTCAGACAGTGGTTCTCTTATCTCTTATCTCAGCTGAGCCACTAACCAGCTGCGAGGCCTTCAGCTGAAGCATTTAACTTCTGTGTGCCTTGGTTTTCTAATCTGTAAATTGGATCATCTGACCTCTACAGTCTCTTTTTCCCTAGGAAGTACTTTGATTTTTGTTGTGTTTTCTCAGAAGCCACTGACAACTAATAGTGCTTTTGGGGGCGTAGAAGTTAGTGACATGTCCATACGTGTCATTAGTATGTGAAGATACGTTGTTCAGCTCACATATGGACTGACTGTCTCTGCATCTACGGGACAAGCATGGAAAGTGTATACTCTAACTTCTACCTATATAGTTACTGACTGATAGGTGTGGTTAGAAATCCTTGAGAACCACTAAACCTCGTGACATTTCTTTTTAGCCATAAGTGATTTTCTAGAAACTGGGTGTTGGAGTTGTTTTGGGGGTGTGAGGCCAGGTATATGATCAGGTATTGGTGGCTGTCACACATTCATGGAATTTAGTCCCAGTTATTTTCTTTTTACATGATTTGTGACAGCCAGTCAAGGAGAAAGCGCCTGCTTTCCAGGGGTTGCAGGGTACGTTAGCTTGGTCAGTGGGGGGACCAGAAAGTCATCTGAACTCTTCACTGCTGATACAGGGACTTTTAAGTATTATGAAAGGTCTAAAGGCCTTAAATATGGTAAAGATAAAGCTGTTTTCATTCTTTATTCTCACCTTCCACATCATGGTTAACAATATAAATTTTTTTGAAAGAAAGTTAATAAGTTAATATTTTTAACTTTATTGAAAGAAAAAAAAAAACAACCAGGATCACCTTGCTCCCACTACCTTTCTTCATTCCTTTGTGAATTTGGCTACTGAATCCTGCTCCCAGGTTTTGTAACACTTCCTACCTACTCTCTTGCAGCCAGTTGTTAGCCAGCTTGTTGGTTTACCAGTGCACGGGCTCTGCAGCTTTCTTCCTCTCCTTTGGTTTTTACAGGTCCTGAGTTGCCCTACTTCAAGATTTTTACTTCTAGTTCTCCACATGCAACCTTGCTGTTGAGTTGTTTCACAGGAAGTACGTCTGTTAAATTCTGAGATCTCAAACTTCAAAGATTCTTTGGCTGCCAACTCCTGTCATTCCATCTCTCAGTCCCTCGTTGCCTCTGCACCCACCCTTGACCGTCAGCGAACCTTCCTTCCTTCCCTACTCTCTTGTCTCTACTTGTTCGCCTACTCAGCCTGTGACTCTTAGGTCCCACTTCAGCAACTCATCTCACCGAAAAATAAACCTTGAGTCCTCAGACTTGGCCCTCAGACTTCAATTTCCAGTGGTCCTGCTTTCCACCTGCAGAGATCTGCTCCAGAAAGTCACATCTTTGTGGCTTCAGTGAGGATACATGGTGGACAAATATAGTGGCTGGACCTCCATGATTACAGTCTTTTCTATCCATTCTTAATATCCGTTTGAATGCACAGGATAGTTTCAGTTTGGAATTTGGGCCCCCAAGTAAATACAGTCCATTGTCATGGGACTGTTTCTCCCATGATTGGAGGCCTGTGGGATTACTTCTGCATGGGCAGTCTGGTGAGCCCATAATAGGAAGGGCACCAGGGCTCTCTCACTGGGGTAGCATAAGCATGTTGGCCCATGTAACTTTTTTTTTTTAACTTTCTGGAAACTACTGGTAGGATTTCTTCAACTTGGCTACACAGACGCAGTTGTTGTGGGACCTGTTGCTGCCAGGAATCAAAAATACATTATTTTGCAGGTTACATCCCATTATAGGTTATTAAAACGTATTGGATTTAATTCCTTCTGCTATATAGTAAATCCCTCTTGCTTCAATTTTTTAGAAAAGTGAAAAAATACATATTTTGATAGTATCAGTAGTCAGCCCCATACCTTGGGGTGGGGGTAAAAATGTTAGCAACAATATTTATGATCTCGCTATTTTAAATAGTTTCACTCTAAGTTTTTTTTTTCATTTAACAAGTGGCATAATACATGCATTTGTTTTCTCACTAATGAATGGTTTTCTGAAACATAGCATTCCCCTGATGTGACATTTCTTGCCACGCTTCCATCTTCTTAACCTGAATTTTATGATAATGCCTTCCGTGATGAGAAAAAAATGTGCACCGTTTTCCCTCTTGATCGTAAACTGTAACAGATTTACGTATCGTACATGTTTTTATACATTTCTTTTTGTGAGTATTTGACCTTGAGATACCGAATCAAGATGTTGAAGATTGTTTTGTTGTAAATTTAAGCTACAAAAAATTAATTGCGTTTTTCAAACAAGAGACTACAGCAGCTTTGTTTTCTTTGGACATCATTAGATTCTTAGTTCTTAAAATATCACTTATATGCTGTACATATTTTGCTGTTTTGCTAACGTTGGTAGCTATTTCTCACCCTTGCATCTACCATTCCACTGAAATATATATTTCTTCTTTATAAGTTAGGTTTTTATATCTAGCTGGCAAAACCTTCAGATAGTGACTCCACATTCTACCTTTATTTTTCTGTGGGGCCTACAGTCTTGTCTGGTACCTTAGGCTCTTGATGCATTCGTGTATACTGTTATTTAGAAGAGAGGGAAGGCATGTCCCAACGCCCTGCTCCGTTCTTCCTACTTTAGAGGCACGTTCATTCCCTTCCTTCCTTCCAAGGCTAAGCTCCCTAAAGCCCCCTGCTAGTGGTATTCGTGTCTCATTTCCTGCCCCCTCTTGGACCTCACCTTCACTGTGTTCATCTCTCCGTCTTCACTGGCTTTTTCTGTTTCTCTCTAAATATATGAAATTTAAAAAAATTTATTTTTCCTTTTATGGGTCTGGTTTCCTTTCAGTCTATCATTTCATTTTATTCCTACCCTTTTCCAAAAATTTCTTGAGAAAGTCTGACATAATCACTGTTTAATTCTTAACGCTTTCTAATCTGGCTCCTGTCTCTCTAGCTCCCTTACACCTGGGGAGACTAGTACTGTGCCTGGCACACATGTTATAGTTGTTAAATGAGTGAAAATCATTTCATGAAACTCTGACCGCTTGCTAACCATCAGTGGCCTTTTCTTAGTTCTTACTTTATTTAACCCATTGAGACACTTGATTTTCTAAGTCTTGTCTCCTTTCCAGAAATTTTCCTTTTTATATTTGCTCTTATGATATTGTACTTTCGTCTTTAAATTCCTGTGTCTGGCCATCCCTTCTGTTGTCTTCACTGATTCTCTTCTGGTTAAATTACTTTTCATGTTGATGTTTCCCAAAGTCTTTAACTCTCCTCAGTATCAACATTCCAAAGTAGTATTGTCCAATCGTATTATTGCTTCATCTTTTGGCTCTCAGATCTCTACCTGACATCCCTCTTGAGATCTAGACTTGATCGTTCAGAGTTCCAGACATTTCTATATGGATGGCCTTTGATACCTGAAATTCAGTCTGCCCAAAAGTCTCAGTATTTTCAGAGATGTTCTCTCTGTATATATTTATTTGGAAGGTGAAGTGGTGAGAAGGAGGGATTCTGCTCGTTTAATTGCTTGGGATGGAGGAAGAGCCCTAGGGGTCAAGTACTCCATTTGGAGATTTTCAACCAAACTGTACTTTAAATTCCGTGCCTCACATTGCCCTAAGTAGTGGCTAGTTTCTTCCAGTCGTGCTTTTTCTGGTGGTCTGTTGATAATCTGTCTATAGATTGTTTCCCCTTATGATCAGACTTCCCCGTTGCTGACACTTGGGCAGAAGCTTCTAGTCAATTACCCTGCCTTTGTCTGCGTTTGCCTTCTAAACCTTTTCTGAAATCTCTTACCTGCTAATATCTACTGTCTTCCTCTGTATTCCTCACTTTAAAAAAATCCCTTTATTGTCGTTTTAGAGTGTTTTGTACAAGAGAAGAAATCAGTCTGTGGTTTATCTACAGTGTTAATCAGAATTTTTATCTCTTTTTGTTGTTGAAGAAAGTGACTCCCAGAGAGACTGTCACTTGACAAAACTCACACTGTTCCTTAGAGGAGGCTAGAGAATTCAGATGCAGTTCTGTGCCATACTGCTTCCCATTTGTGAACTTAATTTGTAAGGTATATTTATAAACTTAATTTACCAAAAAGAAATCATGTTAAAAATTAAAAGGACCATGGCAGTAAGTCTGTTTTCAGAATGAGTCATGAGCTAAATAAAGTGAGTTAAACCAGGACCATAGATTACGGACTTTCCAAACCAGGCTTAAATAAATTGATGATTATTAGGCTTGTTCTCAACAGCTTGACATCTGCTTTATATAAAATTTAACTCTCACCCCACTTTAGAGTGGTTGCTCATAGCTGCTCACATAGCGCTGGTGAAGTTTCTGGCATCTTTTAAGAGGCCATGGTTGATATTTGCCTGTGATGGTTCCTATGGATAACCAAGGAGTACCAATCTAGTGCAAATTTCTGTTAGTTATTAATGATTCATAACTCCTATTTTTAATATTATAATAAGTAAATAATTTCCTAAAAACAGCCACACATTTTTAAATTATTACCACTATTTACTGATACGAAAAAATGGAAGAATTGTAGCTCAAGAATATCTCACTGAAGAAAAATAGTCACAAATGGTTCTTTACATCCATGCCTGTATTGAGGGTACAGCACACTGTTTAGTAAGATGAATATATTAAATTATGTATCTGTTCATTTTTTGATTTGTGTAATTCTTCTTTAGTGTTTCCCCCACCCCAACTTTTTCTTGGCCAGAAGTGAAATGGTAGTCAAATTTAAATAGATTAAATGTCTTCATGATTAGAAGAAATTTAATTA